CAGGGCTATCTTCAGATGTCTTTTAAAGATAAGATAGCTGCTTATTTCCTTCACATCTGGTGGGAAGGCGTTCCACAGGGCGGGTGCCACTACCGAGAAGGCCCTCTGCCTGGTTCCCTGTAACTTGGCTTCTCACAGGGAGGGAACCGCTAGAAGGCCCTTGGCACTGGACCTCAGTGTCCGAGATGAACAATGGGGGTGGAGATGCTCCTTCAGGTATACTGGACTGAGGCTGTTTAGGGCTTTAAAGGTCAGCACCAACACTTTGAATTGTGCTCAGAAACGTACTGGGAGCCAATACAGATCTCTCTGGACTGGTGTTATGTGGTCCCAGTGGCCACTCCCAGTCACCAGTCTAGCTGCTGCATTCTGGATTAATTGCAGTTTCCGGGTCACCTTCAAAGGTAGCCCCACGTAGAGTGCATTGCAGTAGATGAGCCATTTGCCTGATCCAACAAGGCATCTTCTTCTGTTTTTACTGATAAAGTGCTTTAAATGCCTGATGTGGAAGCAGACTGGAGAAAAGGAGAAAGAGAGAAGATGGAATTGACAGATTCATCCATCAGAGAGCCGGTGTGGTGTAGTGGTTAAGAGCGGTAGACTCATAATCTGGTGAACCGGGTTCGCGTCCCCACTCCTCCACATGCAGCTGCTGGGTGACCTTGGGCCAGTCACACTTCTCTGAAGTCTCTCAGCCCCACTCACCTCACAGAGTGTTTGTTGTGGGGGAGGAAGGGAAAGGAGATTCTTAGCTGCTTTGAGACTCCTTAGGGTAGTGATGAAGCAGAATATCAAATCCAAACTCTTCTTCTCCTCCTCTGCTTATTCTTGTCCTTTTCTGCATTGTTAGAAAACAGAACATACATAAATGTCCTTTGCGAGGTGTCAAAATGACGTGTATGGTTCTCTGTGCCCTTGAGAACATTCAGTACTTGCAACTTCACGGAGAGAATGTTCAGTGAAACAACACAGGTTGTGAGTTTGGTAACACGTCGTTAGTTATTTTCCATGAACACTTTTTTTTAAAGCTACTTTATTGGCTTTCCTCATTTCCTGCCTTGTTGTTAAAATATCCGTACCCTCATTTTTTTGAGGGCAGAGGCTGTTGAGTCCTTTCTCTTCATTAGTATCACTTTGGACGCTTCTCTCTTGGACATCTCATGTTTCCAGACTTAGCACACTCTGGTCCTCTGCAATTTGCTTGCCTCCCATTGTTTGATCTTCTCGGTCTCTGCTTCAGGCACGGCCCATGAGGTTGCCATAGAAACCACTCAGTTAACTAGCCTTGCCACAGGATTTCACACATACACAAAATACAAACTAGGTGTGCTGGTCCCGAGGGTTAACTGTGCGGCGAGGTCCGAGTCCAGTCCGAGGTCGAGGGTGCGGTATGGAGGCTGCCCATCAAAGCTGAAGCGGGGTCCAAGGCAGGGAGTCTGGTGAGGTCAGGAACTCTGGCAGAAGAGCAGGACAGGGTGCAGGCAGGAACAGGCTACCAACAATGTTGCTCCCGCAACCTGGGACTGGGGCTGGCTGGCTTTTATCTGCCCCGAGGCATAGGGCGGCCCTGGTCCACAGGTGACTCGCCTCTCCTGGCCTGGAGGTGAGCACTCCTCCTGCGGGAACTTAGTTCCCTCTGCCTCTCTGCCCTGAGCCTCTGCAGCTCAGGAGAGGCTGGAGGGTTACCGGACCCAGAGGCAACCTCAGCTTCCCCTGACGGGGATGAGAGTGGAGCACCTGCAGGCAATGGGTCCTCCATCACTTCAGGAGCCAGAGCAGACTCAGTTGGTGCCTGCACCTGAGGATCCAACACAGGTGAGGACCCTTCAGGCTCCTGCCCCAGCCCCGGCTCAGCAGGTTCTGGAGGCGGGGACTCCTGTGCAGACTGGGATTCCTCAGGCTCAGCCTCCGAGTCCGAATCCCAGGCCATCACACCAGGCCCAAATAAGCCCTAAAATGCTTTAAATGGAAAACAACAGTTTGATGATTAGCTGTATAATGACATGGCATCTCAACACTTCACAACTGATAAACAGGAGCCCTTCAGAATCACAGCATCATAGAATTTTAGAACAGTAGGGTTGGGAAGGGACCCAAGAGTCATCTAGTCCAGCCCCTTGCAATGCAGGAATCTCAGCTAAGGCATCCATGATTGAACTGTAGAGCTGGATGGTTGTAGATGTTCAGATGATCCTCCCCACCCACACATCCATACACCTTGAAAGAAGGCATGAGGCAGGTGGTGAATCTAAGGAGGCTTAGCATGGAGGAGGAGGAGGAGTTTGGACTTGATATCCCACTTTATCACTACCCAAAGGAGTCTCAAAGTGGCTCACAATCTCCTTTCCCTTCCTTCCCCACAACAAACACTCTGTGAGGTTTCGCAACTTCAAAAACCTATCTGTAACTTCGGACAAGTGTTTTCCTTTGAAGTATGAATCACCCCCCCCAATCCATGGCAGTATGCATAAAGAACTAACATGGGCAAGTGTCCAGCTTATGGTCCAACTGTGGCCCCCCAAAAAAAGTTTTCTGGCAAATAAACTGTGACCAATGTAACGTGACTAACATAACATGGGGAAATTCATTGATCAACACCCATAAACAAATCCTCTTACTTCCTCTATGCCAGGGATACCCAATGGAATGCCCTTCAGAGATTGTTTGACTATATCCCCAATCGTTTTAGACTACCAACTATCCCAGTGGGCTTGATGGGAGTTGTAGTCCCAGAACATCTGGAGGGTACCATGTTGGCAACCCAACCCTATGGCAATCAGCCACAGGCAAACTTGAAAGTTTCATTATTGCCTCATTCATTTGCCTGAGCAAGTTGAGATACCAATTACCTTGCAGGTCCAGATGGTTATTTTGCATTATTTTATTAAATTTCTATACCAGCCTTCATCTGAAGATCACTGGACAGTTTATACCAGCACTCCTGCTCTGAAAAAGGACCAGAGCTGTGCTCCTCTTCATCTCCCCTTGACTATACCACTGTTAGCTTGGCCCTTTGAAAAGCCACACTTGCCGAATCGTCCTCTTCTATACATGACTCTATTGCTGGGATGGAAGAAAGAGCCATATATAGTTTGCGGGCACACGCGCTAAACCCTGTCTGGGGTGCCTACCCCTTTACCCCAAATGATGAGACAAGAGACCAGAGTATGGGTTCAAATTGGCCATAACTTTATTGAACTTCAGAAGTGGGAAACTTGGCACAGGCCTTGACAGGTAACCCTCTCAGCCCACCTGGCTGAGGATACACAGGCAGATGAGGTTCAGTGAGAGGGGACTGCAAAGCGCAAACTTACACAGCATGCCCTTCCACCGACCTTGTCCTGGGAGTTTGGCCTACATGCCGCTGCTCTAGGGCCAGGGGCTCCCGGTTTTTGCCCTTTAATGGGCCCTGCAAGTGCTGCCACATGGGGAGGGAGCATGAATGTTAGACTAAACTTGATGTTAGACTAAAGGCTACCTTGCCAAGGCCTAAAATTCACCACCCGAGGCCGTAAGGGGCCTCGCCGCCAAGTCCCACAACTGAGGACCAATCAAACCCTGCAGTCTATCCAGTCCCCAAGGACTCGTCACAAGTCGTGGAGCCAGAGGTCATTACCCAGTGGGGTCAGGTGCACTCCATCCTCCCGGAATAGGTCAACTCTATCTGCTGTGATGGTGGGATGTGGGATAGAGAACCCACCAATTTGCCGCATGGTATTGCGCATGGCCCTGTTAATTTTTTCCACAGCATAATTGATGCGAGAGGGATTGGAAGCTCCTCTCCAGTGAGGACAAGGTAGGAGATTGGACCAGCCGATAGTCATTGTCGGGTACAAGACATGCAGGCTTTTTATATCTGCCCCTGCAGCAAGGGCCAGGGCAACGCCTTTTTGGTCCACTAGATCATTCTCTCCCGCATGTATAATCAAGACCCTCGAAGGGCCATGCGCCGTTGCTGGGATGGAAGAAAGAGCCATATCGTTTGATGGAGAAAGTGAAGATAAACAAACGAACTGGCAGGGGGTGGGGGCTGTAGTATTTTGGTCATCTTCTTCTTGGTTTCTGCTCAAACCTCAGTGTGCATTTCTGGCACTACTGAATTTTAAATAGGCTGGCAAATGCATAAACCCACAAGACGAGAGACAAAGCTAATCCTGGAGAACAACAGCAAGAGCCCAGGAAGGACTCCTGCTGCTCTTGCTCAAAAACCAATCAGGCAGCCAGAGCAAATGATCCAGCACTTGAGCAAAGAGGCTTGGAAAGAGGAAATTTCACACAGCTACATCCAGAAGCCACACAGAGACATTCAGAAAATCATGACATGGGCCTGCACAGACTAGCTCAGCAAGCAAAGGACTTAGAAAAAGAATCATCCAGGATTATCGGATACTGTCAAACAAAATGAGCCAAATAACTTAGTTTCATAAAGCAGGGATATAAATCCAAAACACCTACGCAGTACATCTTTTTCTTTTCTTTTGGTGCATTCACCATTTGCGCTGATATAGAAAAATAGGGGTGGTTGGCTTTTGCTGCCCAACTCCCCAAGGGACTGAGTTCCCTAAGTCCATGAGTCCATGTGTGGGACAGTTTGCCTTGGGAGGTGGTTTACTCCTCTTCAGCAGAGGTTTCCAATAAGAGCCTCGATGGTCACCTATCAGGGATGCTGCAGCTGTGGATCTCCTGCATCAACAGAGGGTTGTACTACAGACGTTTAGGTCATTATCTGACCCTCCACCTAAAAATCTAGAGGTCAGGGGGAACAGATCTAAACAGAGCCTTCATTCTGACATGTTGTTTTCTATGTGCAGCAATTATCACTTGTAGTTTGAAAGTGATGCAAAGCAATCAAATCAAGAAAAGGGGCTTTGTTGTTTAAATTAGCTAACAAATACATAACTGAAAAGGTGGCTTTTGATGTCTTTGTAGTAAAGCACAACAGATTTTTTTAATGATCAATGGTGGCTGGGTAGCGAACTTGACATTTTGCATCTGGAATAGGAGATTATGTTTTTAGAAATTATTCATGGCGTGAAGTCCAAACAAATACTTTTGATCTAATCTTATACAGAGGCTTTGCAAAACAAAGTTTTATTGTACCTATTAAAAAATCATTCAGGTGGACTCTCTTGAAGGTTCATGGCTGTCACTCGAACTCTCCATGAGCTCACTTTGGATTTGAGGGATCGTGGTCACAATTGCTTCATGGATGCTCCGTGCGACATAGTCCAGGTTCTTTGAATTGATGCTGCAGATGTTGATCTGCTTGTTTGCGAGGAGGTAGATATGTTTGTGCTGCGCCAGGAAGTCCACTTGGGAAGCTGGCAGGAAATAAGTAACAGTATTGGCCTGGGCATAAAACCAGCTACGATCAAAAGGCTCATCACTGCAAACAACCTCAAAAGAATTACAAAACACACAGGATGCAAATGAAGCATGCATACAAATAATGCACGCGTTTACTTAGCTTGAATGGCTACAGAGTTTAGGGCTGACGTGATGCAAATCTGCAGCTTCGAGAATTTCCCATCCCCAGTGTAATGGATGATGATGATGATGATTAAAAAGTTATATCTCACCCTTCCTCCCAAAGGATTCCAGGTAGCAGACACAGAAAAAATAAAACCATTAATGCAACTTATTTTATTTTTTTTAATGGTCCTGCCATTCTCCTGATTCTGCCTGTTCACTCAGATCATCTCTGAACTGGAGAACTTGCTTCATTTCCATGCCCAGTCTGAACGAAGTGGACGTTTCAATTTCTTATTTAACTCTAATACAGCTAGCTAATTGGGAAATTTAATTAGTGCAGAATCCAAAGCTTTTGTAATCACTCATGAATCGTGACTTTGTGGAGAAACATTTTGTTTAGAATGAAAACATTTCGAAGCATGACTCGCATATTAAAAGCATCCACCTCAATCCAACAAAGATTTGGGGACCTGTACACCTCAATACGGGACGCGGGTGGCGCTGTGGGTAAAAGCCTCAGCGCCTAGGGCTTGCCGATTGAAAGGTCGGCGGTTCGAATCCCCGCGGCGGGGTGCGCTCCTGTTGTTCGGTCCCAGCGCCTGCCAACCTAGCAGTTCGAAAGCACCTCCGGGTGCAAGTAGATAAATAGGGACCACTTACTAGCGGGAAGGTAAACGGCGTTTCTGTGTGCGGCTCTGGCTCGCCAGAGGAGCGATGTCACGCTGGCCACGTGACCCGGAAGTGTCTCCGGACAGCACTGGCCCCCGGCCTCTTGAGTGAGATGGGTGCACAACCCTAGAGTCTGTCAAGACTGGCCCGTCTGGCCTGTATGGGCAGGGGTACCTTTACCTTTACTTACACCTCAATACATGTTTCTGGGGTGAAATCTGCAGGTCTGGGGGATGATTCCCCCCCCCAATTACTTGTAACCTCTGATTCCATCCCTTGAACATAAACAAAAGTTAGAGAGGGAAGTGAGATCATGGGCCCCCATCCCAAGATCTCTTATAGGCAGGTGTGGAGTCTTCACCTCCACCTTCTGGTGGCTCTGCCCTGTGAGTGGTATGTGAGCCAGGAAGTCACACGTGTATAGACTCTCAATCCCAGTAGGAATCTGGTGCACTCAGGGTTCCCACTGACATGCACAAGCACCTTAACTGATGTTCTGCTTAGGGATGGGGTCCAAATTTGTTTTGGTTTGCAGACTGGCACCTGAGCAGCTGAACAGAAAGGGGAGTGACCAAGAGAGTAGGAGGAATAGGGAATGATCTGGGAGACAGGTGGGGCAGTGGATGGGAATAGAGTAGCCGGGGGGACTGGGAAACAGCTCAGTGAGTGTGCTCAGTGGCTACAGAATTATGACTCACTGCTGGGGAAGAAAACAGAAAACCACGGGAAGGGGAACAAATGGGAGAGACTGGAAACCTGAACAAAAGCACTTCATGCTGCAATGGTTTGCTGCACCTCCAACTTCCACCTTTTAAAAAGCATATAGAAAACAGTGCAGAGGCTGTGATTTCCCCTCCTCAACCCATGTTATTTGAGTTCTATCTCTTAAGGGCAGTTTAGAGATGTGAGATGGAAGTTACTTCCAGGTGAACAGACCACGCCAAACACACAGTGAAGCAGTCCTGTGGTTCCTCTACCATGCATCCAGATCAATGGCAACTCACCATGGTGAAGCAGGGAGCAAAGAGAGATACATACCCCTGGTGAGGTTTGAGCCTAGTGCTTAGGAAGGGCACAGTCCAGATGCAGACCTGTCTTGGGCTCAGCAACAGACAATGGCGGCTGGTGCCCTTTGGGCCTTGTAGGGAGGAAGGCAGGGAGGTGAACAGTAGACAGAGCAAGAGCCAATGACAGGCAGAGCCAACTAATTCTAGATTTGTCCACACAAATCCTCCTCTCTGCTGAGTTCTACAAGGCAAACACTGAGTCAAAGGAGGAGGAAGCAGATAGCTGCTCCCTCCAGCCTCTGGACTGGTTGTAAGTAAGGTGGGGGCAGCCAGGTGGGGGCTGACTTAAGGCAGACCAAAGTGATGGAGCAGTGCCCCATTTGCCCATATGGACCGACTTCCACTGGCAAGAGAATAGGCTTATTGGATACATACGGAGGAGCCCGACAAAGCTATTGACTCCTGATTGGGCTGTGATATGTTCCCAGGAACCCGGTGTCCCCAGGATACGCAGCTTCTCCTTCAGTTTTTCTCTAATCAGCATAATTCTCTTTACTAGTTTCAGCAGACTCTGTTTCCTAAGGACAGGGATAGAAAAGATATGGCATGAGATCCCCTCCCCCCTGCTCTCTCCTCAAAACGGCTGTGAAGTCTGGTTCAGACATAATGATTACAGCCCAACAAACTAAAGTTTGTTGAACTAGGAATGAGTCATGCGTCCACATACTCCCACATTATTTCTTTCCTCCTTCGCTTTCATGCTTTAATTCAATGTTCAGTTAAACCACAGTTTCCTTTTGATATCCATACCAAGAAACTGTGGTTTGAGCAATCCATACAAATTACGATATCAAACCAGAATCAAACCAATCCCTGGGTCTAGACATCTATAGATTTTAAGAATGAGGCATTTCTCCTTTCACAGTAGTACCTGCTGTGACATGTCCACGAATCCTCTAAAAAAGAAAGAGGCTTTTTTGCTTTAGCAGCTGGTCTTATGTATAGGCATCTATGCAGATTTAAAGAGTGGATGAATGAACCAGTCAACCACCCATAAATTAATCATTCCTGATTTCTTTTGACAAGTGGACAACCCTAATTTTTGATACTAATGATATGATCTGTATATGAGATCTCTGAGTGCTTTTAAATGTTCCTGATCATCCCTTCATCCTTAAGGGCACCAGGGCAGAATATTACAGGCATGACTGAACCAACCATACCAAGACAAAATACAAAAATGCAACAAAAACAAAACAATCAATAAAACAGTTCATGAACCAGTTAACACAACAGAGCAAACCAACAGCGTAGCCAACATTTTAAATGTCCAGGCAAATAAAACGGATGATCATAGTTGGCACCACTTGCAGCCACACTAGCTGGGACTGATGGGAAATGGAGTCCAGAGGGCTGCAGGCTCCTCACTCCTGCACTGAATGCTATTATAGCACTGGTGCCTGCGGAATATTTATTCAACCCTTGCCTGGGTTGCTCATCTCCCTCTTTTCTCTTGCCTTTTCCCACTCACAATTGCAATTGTGCAAAACTATTTTGGGAAATATCTTCATTACAGGTGCATCAAAATATTCACAAAACAGCAGCAGTCTGTATTGGACAATTGCTTTTTTTGTCCAATACAAGCCCCGACCGCGGAGTTACCTGCCTTCCTTCTTACCACTCGTACAGCAGTGCAGGGCTGGTCAGCACCATTGCGATGACCCTTGCCCCCAAGCTGGTGGGGCTAAACCACGTCATGCATATTTGCTTGGACAGCTGGGATTGGATTCTGATCAGTGTCTGGTTGTTTTTCGTCACCACAATGAGATTTCCAACCCGCTCCTCTGCATGAAATAATAGCAAAAGGGAACAGGGCATGTTGAAGATGGCGTTGCCAAATCAATTGTATACGAATCAATTACATGCGTACGCAGCCAGCTCTCCCCACACAGAACAGCTTTAGACTACACTTCCTATTCCTCCACCAAATTCAGAAATTGCTGGGGCTGGTGGAAGTTGCAGGGAGTATCCCTGAGGCTGCCAGTCCAGAGGACAACCCACCCAAGCTTTCAAAGGAATATAAGAACATGCCTTACATTGAGTCAGTCCACTCAGGACCATCAGCCATACGTCGTCTACACTTTCACCATATGAACCTGCCCGGACCCTGAGATCGTCACCTGAGCCCCTTCTCTGTATGCCACCTCTGAAGTGTTATGTACTGAAGTTCTCACCCTGGGCCAGCAGGGGGATACTGTAGATAGTTATGCAAATGAAGGATCGAAAGTGACGTTCAGTGATTGGATAGTTTTAGAAAGTTGCTACAGTAATGTTGCATTGGAGCTCTATATAAGCAGGCTGACTGAGCCCTTCAGTTCTGTTCTGTTCTGGCCTCTGAATAAACAAGAGCTGTTGAAGAATCGCTGTGTCGTCTGATATGTTCACCCACAACAACATGAAGGACATTCAGAGGGTAGCAATGAGAGAACATACCTTTTCTATAATAGCTCAATATATATAGGAAAGGCTTTCCCCAGAGAGGGCCACTTATGGCAGGCAGGGTTTTGATTTACTGGGCACTGGAGTACCAATGATTGGAAGTCTGCATTGTTTTATTATTTTTAATATGCTTGTGCATTTTTATCATTGGATTTTTATACTGGTCGTAAAATCACTTTGGGGCTTTTTGTGGTGGGATTTAATAAACCGAAATCTACACTGTCGGTGACTCCCCAGTGCTTCAGGTGGGGGACATTCCTTAGCCCAAATCAGAAAAGCTGGGGATTGAACCTGCAACCTTCTGCATGCAAAGCAAATGCCCTCCCACTGGGCTATGGCTCTTCACCTATGTGATTAGTTCCTGAAGAGCATCAGTCAGTTTTTACCCCTGCCACTCAATCCAATTTTGGAAGCGCTTTTGGATGGCACACAATACGAGTGGATTTTTAAACCACTCCATAAAATCATCACAAGCATAAATGTGATATAAACTGGGCATTGATGTAGCAAGCTGAAGTCTAGGATTTCTACCAGAAAAAGAAGAGAATAACTCGGAGTGAGTGCACTCATTGTTACTCGCTAATTTCTGAACTCCTTTCTCTTGTCTTTGAGGACCTCTAGTGTTTAAATATAGGTATGATCTCTTTTCAGAGCAGTCATGGACTTCCAGGCAGCCTTCCCAACTATGTGACACCTGCTTTTTCTTACAGCTCCTGAGTCCCCATGATGACGGATAGGTTTTAAATGCAAGTGACAAACTCATGCACTGAGAGCATATGTGAGGGGGCTGCAGAGCTGTGCTGCCTAGGCCTGCATCATGCCATCAATGGAAGGGAAAGGTCCAGTATGTCTGAAGGAGCGTCTCCACCCCCATCGTTCTACCTGGACACTGAGGTCCAGCGCCGAGGGCCTTCTGGCGGTTCCCTCACTGTGAGAAGCCAAGTTACAGGGAACCAGGCAGAGGGCCTTCTCAGTAGTGGCGCCTGCCCTGTGGAACACCCTCCCACCAGATGTCAAAGAGAAAAACAACTACCAGACTTTTAGAAGACATCTGAAGGCAGCCCTGTTTAGGGAAGCTTTTAAAGTTTGATGCATTACTGTATTTTAATATTTTGTTTGGAAGCTGCCCAGAGTGGCTGGGGAGGCCCAGTCAGATGGGTGGGGTATAAATAATACATTATTATTATTATTATTATATTATTATTATTATTATTATTTATTAAGGCACACAGCAGCAATGGATTTGGCAGCAAGGTAACACAGGTTCCTGATACGGTGATAGGGACGATGTACCTGGGATGATCCCACAATCCTCTTATGCATGCTTTTGCTGTTCAACGTGAAAGGGTTTCTTGTGATTCCACTGCCTTCCCCCAAGAGCTTGGTCTACCCTTGGACCCACTTAGTGTGACCATTAGAGTCCTACCGTATAGGCCAAACATTTTGGAAAAAGACTGGGCACACAGAAGCTCAAATCCCTTTGCTACAAAATGCCGCACCGCCCAGGCATCCTTGTCCAAGTTTCCTGAAGCCAGTCCTTGAGCTGCGATGTCGAAAAAGGGGAAGAGGTGCTTTTTCTAAGGACCCAAAAGAGGTGGGAAGAGAGAAGAAACAGATGCATTGTGAATTTGGCTGACATTATTGTGAACTATAGCTATGGTTTTACCTAAAAACAGATTTGCATTGAAACACTAGCCTGGCAATCGTGACAAGGAATTGCTGTTGGGTGAGTAAACGGAATTCCATAGAAGTGAGTGAGGGAGCTAAAGGAGGATGGATAGAGCACTCTGTTCCTTCTCTGTAGCCCAGCATACAAAGCAAATTTGCTATCAGAGCAGGGAAGCCCCATTCTCCATGCCTAGCACAAAAAATATAGCAGGCTGCTGTAAGAGGTCTGGAGCTCCAGCAGAATGTTTTGTTATTTTGGGTAGGCTAGTGACTTTTATGGTCTTATTTACAAGGCTGCCTAAAAGTGCCTTCTGATGAGTGTCTAGGATTTGACTAAGGAAGCTAAATGTTCTTTCCTAATGGCTTGATGTTATTTCCCAAATGCACAATTCACCTGCAAGGTGGGATCTCAGAATGTGCATGGGGAAAACAGGCAGGCAGCAGGGTTTGTTTTTTTTAATGGAAGGGAAAGGGAAAGATTTTGGGATGTAGTCTCTGGTGAATGTGCAGCCTGCTGGAGGAGGGCCTGTTTAGCTTCTGCTATGATTTGCTTGTAAATTTGTAAATCAAGCCAGTGTTACAAACAGAGCTGAAGTCTCTTAAGTGTCCACTCATCGAAAGAACAAGAAAAACCCTAAAGTTCTGCCCTAAAACATCTCACTTCTTGGAAGTGGGATGGCATAATTATTTGCAGTGAAGCATGGGATATACTTGCATATTATCTTTTTTCACAACTGGGGACCTGCAACAAACTGGTGGTCAAGTGCTTCTCCCCAGTATTCTAACCACTCCACTCCATAGTATGCCCCTTTTCCCAACAATTTTCTATTTTCCACTATCAGACAGGCCCCATATCCCCTATGCTTTTAAAGCAGCATCATACCCAGGCATAGGCAAACTCCAGCCCTCCAGATGTTTTGGGACTACAACTCCCATCATCCTAGCTAACAGGACCAGTGGTCAGGGATGATAGGAAGTTGTTTAGTCCCAAACATCTGGAGGGCCGAGTTTTGCTTGTGCCTGATCATACCACTTTGAGACCAGTCACAGCACCCTCTCCAACCACCAAAGATTCTGGCTAACTTTTACTTGTTAGCTTCTGAGAGTCATTAGGAGACCCTCTATTCCATTAATGGACTACTGTTCCCAGAGTGGTTTAACAATCGATCCCTCTTCCCAGAGAATTGTGAGAATGGTAGCTCTTTGAGAAGAACAGCGGTCTCTTAACAGCTCTCAGCACTCTTAACAAGCTACATTTCCCAGGATTCTCTGGGGGAAGCCATGCCTGTTTAAAGTGGTTTGACTCCAAGAACATTAGGAGGGCTGCAGGTTCCATATTCCTGGTCTGTCCAGTCATTGGCCTCTTTACCTCCATCACTGCTGCAACTTCTTCCCACTGCTTGGGTGTCAAGCCAGTTTCCTCAGGAGCATGCAGGAACACGATGGAGCCTTCTGGTGCGTCCTGAAAGCAATAACTGTGGGCGGCGAGGTCCGAGTCCAGTCGAGGTCGAGGGTGCGGATGGAGGCTGCCCACAAAAGCTGAAAGCGGGGTCCAAGGCAGGAGTCTGGTGAGGTAGAGAACTCTGGCAGAAAGAGCAGGACAAGGGGCAGGCAGGAACAGGCACCAAACAATGTTGCTCCCGCAACCTGGGACTGGGCTGGCTGCTTTTACTGCCCCGAGGCATAGGGCGGGCCTGGTCCACAGAGTGACTCGGCCTCTCCTGGCCTGGAGGTGAGCACTCCCCTGCGGGAAACTAGTTCCTCTGCCTCTCTGCCCTGAGCCTTGCAGCTCAGGAGAGGCTGGAGGGTTACCGGACCCAGAGGCAACCTCAGCTTCCCTGACGGGGATGAGAGTGGAGCACCTGAGCAAATGGGTCCTCATCACTTCAGGAGCCAGAGCAAGACTCAGTTGGTGCCTGCACTGAGGAAATCCAACACAGGTGAGGAACCTTCAGGCTCCTGCCCCAGCCCCGCTCAGCAGGTTCTGGGAGGCGGGGACTCCTGTGCAGACTGGGATTCCTCAGGCTCAGCTCGAGTCCGAATCCAGGCCACACACAGGCCCAAATAAGCCCTAAAATGCTTTAAATGGAAAACAACAGTTTGATGATAGCTGTATAATGACAATGGCATCCAACACTCACAACTGATAAACAGGAGCCTTCAGAATCACAGGGCATCAAGAATTTTAAACAGTAGGGTTGGAAGGACCAAGAGTCATCTAAAGTCCAGCCCCTGCAATCAGGAATCCAGCTAAGGCATCATGATTGAACGTAGAGCTGGATGGTGTTAGAATGTTCAGATGATCCTCCCACCACACAATCAATAACACCTTGAAAGAAGGCATGAGCAGTGGGAAATCTAAGGAGGCTTAGCATGGAGGAGGAGGAAAAGGAAGTTTGGACTTGATATCCCACTTTATCACTACACAAAAGGAGTCTCAAAGTGGCATCACAATCTCCTTTCCCTTCCTTCCCCAACAACAAACACTCTGTGAAGGTTTCGCAACTAAAAAACCTATCTGTAACTCGACAAGTGTTTTCCTTTGAAGTATGAATCACCCCCCAATCCATGGCAGTATGCATAAAGAACTAACAATGGGCAAGTGTCCAGCTATGGTCCAACTGTGCCCCCCAAAAAAGTTTTCTGGCAAATAAACTGGTGACAATGTAACGTGACTAACATAACATGGGGAAATTCATTGATCAACAACCATAAACAAATCTCTACTCCTCTAGCCAGGGAAACCCAATGGAATGCCTTTCAGAGATTGTTGACATATCCCCAATCGTTTAAGAACTACCAATATCCCAGTGGGGCTTGATGGGAGTTGTAGTCCCAGAACATGGAGGGTACCATGTGGCAACCCAAAAACCCTATGGCAATCAGCCACAGGCAAAACTTGAAAGTTTCATTATTGCTCATTCATTTGCCTGAGCAAGTTGAGATACCAATTAACCTTGCAAGGTCCAGATGGTTATTTTGCATAATTTTATTAAATTTCTAAACAGCCTTCATCTGAAGATCACTGGACAGTTTTATACCAGCACTCCTGCTCTGAAAAAGGGACCAGAGCTGTGCTCCTCTTCATCTCCACCTGACTATACACTGTTAGCTTGGCCCTTTGGAAAAAGCCACACTTGCCGAATCTCCTCTTCTATACATGACTCTATGCTGGGAATGGAAGAAAGAGCATAATATAGTTTGCGGGCACACGCGCTAAACCCTGTCTGGGTGCCTACCCCTTTACCCAAAGATGAGAACAAGAGACCAGAGTATGGGTTCAAATTGGCATAACTTTATTGAACTTACAGAAGTGGGAAACTTGGCACAGCCTTGACAGGTAACCTCTCAGCCCACCTGGTGAGGATACAAGGCAGATGAGGTTCAGTGAGAGGGACTGCAAAGCGCAAACTTACAACACAGCAGCCCTTCCACGACCTTGCCTGGGAGTTTGGACCTACATGCCGCTGTCAGGGCCAGGGGCTCCCGGTTTTTGCCTTTAATGGGCCTGCAAGTGTGCACAATGGGGAGGGAGCATGAATGTTAGACTAAAACTTGATGTAGGACTAAAGGTACCTTGCCAAGGGCCTAAAATTCACCACCCGAGGCCGTAAGGGGCCTCGCCGCCAAGTCCACAACTGAGGACCAATCAAACCCTCAAGTCTATCCAGTCCCCAAGGACTCGTCACAAGTCGTGGAGCCAGAGGTCATAATACCAGTGGGGTCAGGTGCAACTCCATCCTCCGGAATAGGGTCAACCTATCTGCTGGATGGTGGATGTGGGATAAGAGAACCCACCAATTTGCCGCATGGTATTGCGCATGGCCCTGTTAAATTTTTTCCACAGCATAATATGCGAGAGGAATTGGAAGCTCCTCTCCAGTGAGGACAAGGTAGGAGATTGGACCAGCCGATAGTCATTGATCGGGTAAAGACATGCAGGCTTTTTTAAATATCTGCCCCTGCAGCAAGGGCCAGGGCAACGCCTTTTTGCACTAGATCATTCTCTCCGATGTATAATCAAGGACCTCGAAGGAGGGCATGCGCTGTTGCTGGATGGAAGAAAAGCCATATCGTTTGAAGGAGAAAAGTGGAAGATAAAAAAACGAACTGGCAGGGGGTGGGGGCTGTAGTATTTTGGTCATCTCTTCTTGGTTTCTGCTCAAACCTCAGTGTGCAATTTCTGGCACACTGGAATTTTAAATAGGCTGGAAAATGCAAAACCCACAAGACGAGAGACAAAGTAATCCTGGAGAACACAGCAAGAAGAACCAGGGAAGGACTTGCTGCTCTTTGCTACAAAAAACCATAAACAGGCAAGCCAGCAAACAAATGGAATAACCAGCACTTGATTAAAGAGGACATTGGAAAGGAAGGAAATTTCACACAGTACATCCAGAAGCCACAAGAGACATTCAGAAAAATCATGACATGGGCCTGCACAGACTAGCTCAGAAGCAAAGGACTTAGAAAAAGAATCATCCAGGGATTATCGGATACTGTCAAAAAAATGAGCCAAATAACTTAGTTTCATAAAGCAGGGATAAATAAATCCAAAACACCTACGCAGGTACATTTTTTCTTTTTTTGGTGCAATTCACCATTTGCGCTGATATAGAAAAAATAGGGTGGTTGGCTTTTGCTGGCCCAACTCCCCAAGGGGACTGAGTTCCTAAGTCCATGAGTCCATGTGTGGGGACAGTTTGGCCTGGGAGGTGGTTTACCCTCTAGCAGAGGTTTCCAAAATAAGAAGCCAGATGGTCACTATCAGGGAGCTGCAGCTGTGGATTCCTGCACAACAGAGAGGTTGTTAACTACAGAACGTTAGGTCATTAATCTGACCCTCCACCTAAAAATCTAGAGGTCAGGGGGAACAGATCTAAACAGAAGCTTCATTCTGACATTTGTTTCTAGTGCAGCAATTATCACTTGTAGTTGAAAGTGATGCAAAGCAATCAAAATCAAGAAAAGGGGCTTTGTTGTTTAAAATTAGGCTAACAAATACATAAACTAAAAGGTGGTTTTGATGTCTTTTAGTAAAAGCACAACAGATTTTTTTAATGATCAATGGATGGTGGTAGCGAACTTGACATTTGCATCTGGAATAGGAGATTATGTTTTTAGAAAATTATTCATGGCGTGAAGTCCAAACAAAATACTTTTGATCTAATCTTAATACAGAGCTTGAAAAAAACAAAGTTTTATTGTACCTATTAAAAAATCAATTCAGGTGGGACTCTCTTGAAGGTCATGGCTGTCACTCGAAACTCTCCATGACTCACTTGGATTTGAGGGGATCGTGGTCACAATTGCTTCATGGATGCCCGTGCGACATAGTCCAGTTTTGAATTGATGCTGCAGATGTTGATCTGGCTTGTTTGCGAGGAGGTAGATATGTTGTGCTGCGCCAGGAAGTCCACTTGGGAAAGCTGGCAGAAAATAAAGTAACAGTATTGCCTGGGCATAAAAACCAGCTACGATCAAAAGGTCATCACTGGCAAACAACCTCAAAAGAAATTACAAAAACAACAGGATGCAAATGAAGCATATACAAATAATGCAACGCGTTTAACTTAGCTTGGAATGGCTACAGAGTTTAGGCTGACGTGATGCAAAACTGCAGCTTCGAGAATTTCCCATCCCCAGTGTAATGGGATGATGATGATGAGATTAAAAAGATTATATCTCACCCTTCCTCCAAAGGATTCCAGGTAGCAGACACAGAAAAAATAAAACCATTAATGCAACTTATTTATTTTTTTTAATGGTCCTGCCATTCTCTGATTCTGCCTGTTCACTCAGATCATCTCTGAACTGAGAAGAAACGTTGCTTCAATTTGCCATGCCCAGTCTGAACGAAAGTGGACGTTTCAATTTCTTATTTAACTCTAATACAGCTAGCTAATTGGAAATTTAATTAGTGCAGAAATCCAAAGCTTTGTAATCACTATGAATCGTGACTTTGTGGAGAAACATTTTGTTTAGGAATGAAAACATTTCGAAGCATGAACCGCATATTAAAAGCATCCACCTCAATCCAACAAGAATTTGGGGACTGTAACTCAATACGGGACGACGGGGGCGTGTGGGTAAAAGGCCCAGCGCCTAGGGCTTGCGATTGAAAGGTCGGCAGGTTCGAATCCCCAGCGGCGGGGGTGCGCTCCAATGTTGTTCGTCCCAGCGCCTGCCAACCTAGCAGTTCGAAAGCACCTCCGGGTGCAAGTAGATAAATAGGACCACTTACTAAGCGGGAAGTAAACGGCGTTTCTGTGTGCGGCTCTGCTCGCCAGAAGGAGCATGTCAAAGCTGGCCACGTGACCGGAAGTGTCTCCGGACAAGCATGGCCCCGGGCCTCTTGAGTGAGATGGGTGCACAAACCTAGAGTCTGTCAAGACTGGCCCGTCTGGCTGTATGGGCAGGGTACCTTTACCTTTACTTACACCTCAAAATGTTTCTGGGGTGAAATCTGCAGTCTGGGGGATGATTCCCCCCACAATTACTTGTAACCTCTGATTCCATCCCTTGAACATAAACAAAAAGTTAGAGGGAGAGGGAAAGTGAGAATCATGGGCCCCACCCAAGATCTCTTATAGGCAGGTTGGAGTCTTCACCCCACCTCTGGTGGCTCTGCCTGTGAGTGGATATGTGAGGCAGGAAGTCACAACGTGTATAGACTCTCAATCCAAGTAGGAATCTGGTGCACTCAGGGTCCATGACATGCACAAGCACCTTAACTGATGTTCTGCTTAGGGATGGGGCCAAATTTGTTTTGGTTTGCAGACTGGCACCTGAGCAGCTGAACAGAAAGGGAGTGGACCAAGAGAGTAGGAGGGAATAGGGAATGATCTGGGAGACAGGTGAGGCATGGATGGAAAATAGAGTAGACGGGGGACTGAAACAGCTCAGTGAGTGTGGCTCAGTGGCTACAGAATTATGACTCACTGCTGGGAAGAAAACAGAAAACACGGGAAGGGAAACAAATGGGAGAGATGGAAAAACCTGAACAAAAAGCACTTCATGCTGCAATGGTTTGCTGCACCCCAACTTCCACCTTTAAAAAGCATATAGAAAACAGTGCAGAGGACTGTGATTCCCCTCCTCAACCCATGTATTTGGAGTCTATCTCTTAAGGGCAGTTTAGAGATGTAGATGAAGTTACTTCAGGTGAACAGACAACGCAAACACACAGTGAAGGCAGTCCGTGGTTCCTCTACCATGCATCCAGATAAATGGCAAACTCAACCATGGTGAAGCAGGGAGAAGAGAGAAGAAACATACCCCTGGTGAGGTTTGAGCCTATGCTTAGGGAAGGGCAACAGGTCCAGATGCAGACCTGTCTGGCTAGCAACAGAACAATGGCGCGTAGGTGCCCTTGGGCTTGTAAGGGAGGAAAGGCAGGGAGGTGAACAGTAAGACAGAGCAAAAGCCAATGACAGGGCAGAGACCAACTAATTCAATTTGTCCACAACAAATCCCCTCTCTGCTGAGTCTACAAGGCAAACACTGAGTCAAAGGAGGAGGAAGGCAGATAGCTGCTCCCTCCAGCCTCTGGAACTGGTGTAAGTAAGGTGGGGGGCACCCAGGTGGGGGACTGACTTAAGGCAGACCAAAGTGATGGAGCAGTGCCCATTTGCCCATAATGGACCGACTTCCACTGGCAAGAGAATAGGCTTATTGGATACATACGGAGGAGCCCGACAAAAGCTAATTGACTCCTGATTGGGCTGATATGTTCCAGGAACCCGGATGTCCCAGGATACGCAGCTTCCCTTCAGTTTTTTCTCTAATCAGCATAATTCTCTTTACTAGTTTCAGCAGACTCTGTTTCCTAAGGACAGGATAAAAAGATATGGCATGAGACCCCTCCCCCTGCTCTCTCCTCAAAACGGCTGTGAAAAGTTGGTTCAGACATAAGATTTACAGCCAAACAAACTAAAGTTTGTTGAACTAGGAATAGTCATGCGTCCACATACTCCCACATTATTTCTTTCCTCCTTCGCTTTCATGCTTTAATTCAATGTTCAGTTAAACCAAAGTTTCCTTTTGATAATCCATACCAAAGAAACTGTGGTTTGAGCAATCATACAAATTACGATATCAAACCAGAATCAAACCAATCCCTGGGTCTAACATTATAGATTTTAAAGAATGAAGGCATTTCTCCTTTCACAGTAGACCTGCTGTGACATGTCCACGAATCTCTAAAAAGAAAGAAAGGCTTTTTTGCTTTAGCAAGCTGGTCTTATGTATAGGCATCTATGAGATTTAAAGAGGGATGAATGAACCAGTCAACCACCCATAAATTAAATCAATCCTGATTTCTTTTGGACAAGTGGACAACCCTAATTTTTGATACTAATGATATGATCTGTATATGAGATCTTCTGAAGTGCTTTTAAATTTCCTGATCATCCCTCACCTTAAGGGCAACCAGGGCAGAATATTACAGGCATGACTGAACCAACCATACCAAGGACAAAATACAAAAATGCAAAACAAAAACAAAACAATCAATAAAACAGTTCATGAACAGTTAACACAACAGAGCAAACCAACAGCGTAAGCCAAACATTTAAATGTCCAGGCAAAAAAACGGATGATCATAGTTGGCCAACCACTTGCAAGCCAACATAGCTGGACTGATGGGGAAAATGGATCCAGGAGGGCTGAGGCTCCTCACTCCTGCATGAATGCTAATTATAAGCACTGGTGCCTGCGGAATATTATATCAACCCTGCCTGGGTTGCTCACTCCCTCTTTTCTCTTGCCTTTTCCCACTCACAAATTGCAATTGTGCAAAAACTATTTTGGGAAATATCTTCAATTACAGGTGCATCAAAAATATTCGACAAAACAGCAAGCAGTCTGTAATTGGACAATTGCGTTTTTTGTCCAAATAACAAGCCCCGACCGCGGGAGTTACCTGCCTTCCTTCTACCACTCGTACAGCAGTCAGGGCTGGTCAGCACCATTGCGATGACCCTTGCCCCCAAGCTGGTGGGCTAAACCACTCATGCATATTGCTGGACAGCTGGAAATTGGATTCTGATCAGTGTCTGGATTGTTTTTTCGTCAACCACAATGAGATTTCCAAAACCCGCTCCTCTGCATGAAATAATAGCAAAAAGGAACAGGGGCATGTGAAAGGGGGGGGGGGTGGCGTTGCCAAATCAATTGTATAAACGAAATCAATTACATGCGTACGCAGCCAGCTATCCACAACAGAACAGCTTAGAACTACATTCCTATTACGTCCAACCAAAATTCAGAAATTGCTGGGGCTGTGGAAGTTGCAGGGAGTATCCCTGAGGCTGCCAGGTCCAGAGGACAACCCACCCAAGCTTTCAAAGGAATATAAGAACATGCCTTACATTGAGTCAGTCCACTCAGGACCATCAGCCATACGTCGTCTACACTTTCACCATATGAAACCTGCCGGACCCTGAAGATCGTCAACTGAGCCCCTTCTCTGTATGCCACCTCTGAAGTTTATGTACTGAAGTTCTCACCCTGGCCAGCAGGGGGATACTGTAGATATTATGCAAATGAAGGGATCGAAAGTGACGTTCAGTGATTGGATAGTTTTAGAAAGTTGCTACAGTAATGTTGCATTGGAGCTCTATATAAGCAGGCTGACTGAGCCCTTCAGTTCTGTTCTGTTTCTGGCGCTCTGAATAAAAACAAGAGCTGTTGAAGAATCGCTAGTGTGTCTGAATAGTCACCCAAACAACATGAAGGACATTCAGAAGGGTAGCAATGAGAGAACATACTTTCTATAATAGCTCAATATATATAGGAAAGGCTTTCCCCAGGAGAGGGCCAACTTATGGCAGGCAGGGTTTGATTTACTGGGCACTGGAGACCAATGATTGGAAGTCTGCATATGTTTATTATTATTTTAATATGCTTGTGCATTTTTATCATTGGATTTTATATATGTCGAAAATAACTTTGGGGCTTTTGTGGGGATTTAATAAAACCGAAATCTAACACGTCGGTGACTCCCCAGTGCTTCAGGGTGGGGGACATTCTAGCCAAATCAGAAAAGCTGGGGATTGAAACCTGCAAACTTCTGCAATGCAAAGAAATGCCCTCCCACTGGCTATGGCTCTTCACCTATGTGATAGTTACCTGAAGAGCATCAGTCAGTTTTTACCCTGCCACTCAATCCAATTTTGGAAGCGCTTTTGATGGCAACAATAGAGTGGATTTTTAAACCACTCCATAAAATCATCACAAGCAAAATGTGATATAAAACTGGGCAATTGATGTAGCAAGCTGAAGTCTAGGATTTACTACAGAAAAAAGAAGAGAATAAACTCGGGATGAGTGGCACTCATGTTACTCGCTAATTCTAACTCCTTTCTCTTGTCTTTGAGGACCTCTAGTGTTTAAATATAGGTATATTTTGCCATTTTGGCGTAGTCCATCAACTTAATCTGCCATTCTTCTCTGGTAGGGACTACTGTCCTTTTTCCATCTTTGGCTAGTAACATCCAGCAACAGTGGTTGCGTACATAAATAGTCTTTTCTGATCTGTTGGTATTTGGCACTAGAATTCCTAGAAGGAAAGCTTTGATTTTTTTTTTAAGAAAAAAAGTTATTTTCAACATTTTTTCCAGTTCATTATTATAAATATCCCAGAATGTGCCACATAGATTACATTTCAACCCACAAAGTCAGGGGGTTATATATGCACACATACCTCTCTCCATTTCTGCAACCAGCCAAGAAAGAGTTCCAGAATCCTAGTTTCAGGATACACCACTGTCAGGAAAAATCAGCTTGATTTAGGGTGTGCAGCAGAGCTGCCCTGGCAAGAGGGATTGACTGGTGACATGCTTTATGAATTGTAGCTGTAGCAACTCTTCGCACCCTTAAAAAACTACACTTCCCAGGATTCTTTGGGTGGGGGAACCATCACTGTTGTGAGGTCTAGAGGCAAGTTTGCTTCAAAATACCAGCTGCTTGAAACCGAGGGGAGAGTGTGTCTGGCATTACTGCTTGCAGGTTTCCCATAGGCATGGGGTTGGCATGCACGAGAACCAGATGCTAAATAATAATAATAATAATAATAATAATAATAATAATAATAATCAATAATAATAATTATTTATACCCAGCGCTGTGGGTTAAACCACAGAGCCTAAGGACTTGTCGATCAGGAAGGTTGGCGGTTCGAATCCCCGCAACAGTGTGAGCTCCTGTTACTCGGGTCCCTGGCTCCTGCCAACCTAAGCATTCGAAAGCACCTCAAAGTGCAAGAGATAAATTGTACCACTCCAGTGGAGAGTAAACAGCATTCCGTGCGCTGCTCTGCCGTTCAGCCAGAAGCAGCGAGTCATGCTGACCACATGACCCGTAAGCTGTAAAGCTGGCTCCCTCGGCCAATAAAGCGAGATGAGCGCTGCAACCCCAGAGTCGTCCACAACTGGACCTAATGGTCAGGGGTCCCTTTACCTTTACCTTTTACCATCTGCTGAGTTTCCCCAGCCACTCTGGGTGGCTCCCAATCGAGTGTTAAAAACAATACAGCATTAAATATTAAAAACTTCCCTAAACAGGGCTATCTTCAGATGTCTTTTAAAGATAAGATAGCTGCTTATTTCCTTCACATCTGGTGGAAGGCGTTCCACAGGGCGGGTGCCACTACCGAGAAGGCCCTCTGCCTGGTTCCCTGTAACTTGGCTTCTCACAGGGAGGGAACCGCTAGAAGGCCCTTGGCACTGGACCTCAGTGTCCGAGATGAACAATGGGGGTGGAGATGCTCCTTCAGGTATACTGGACTGAGGCTGTTTAGGGCTTTAAAGGTCAGCACCAAACACTTTGAATTGTGCTCAGAAACGTACTGGGAGCCAATACAGATCTCTCAGGACTGGTGTTATGTGGTCCCAGTGGCCACTCCCAGTCACCAGTCTAGCTGCTGCATTCTGGATTAATTGCAGTTTCCGGGTCACCTTCAAAGGTAGCCCCACGTAGAGTGCATTGCAGTAGATGAGCCATTTGCCTGATCCAACAAGGCATCTTCTTCTGTTTTTACTGATAAAGTGCTTTAAATGCCTGATGTGGAAGCAGACTGGAGAAAAGGAGAAAGAGAGAAGATGGAATTGACAGATTCATCCATCAGAGAGCCGGTGTGGTGTAGTGGTTAAGAGCGGTAGACTCATAATCTGGTGAACCGGGTTCGCGTCCCCCGCTCCTCCACATGCAGCTGCTGGGTGACCTTGGGCCAGTCACACTTCTCTG